GGCAGCCGCGCGCTGGCCGCGCAGCGGACCTGGGCGCGTTTCATCCCCGGCCGCGTGGAGTTCTTTTCCAGCCAGCAGCCCCCCAACGCCGGCCAGCCCCCGCCACCCCTGCCTGTCATCGCGCTGCCGGGTGTGGACGACTCCTATCCTCCCCAGAAAAAGTCCTTCATGATGATCAAGTACATGCACGACCACTACCTGGACAAGTATGAGTGGTTCATGCGCGCCGACGACGATGTCTACATCAAAGGTGACCTCCCTGCGTCGGCTTTCCAGCCTGCCCGCCTCCCCAACTCCTTTCTCTGTAACCGGCCCTAGCCCCTGCGCAGCCCCTCCGCTGCTTCTCTGCCAGCACGTGTTCCCGGCTCCCACAGGCCTTGGCCCGCCCTCCCCACCCCTTGCATCCGCCCATAATTCGTAGCCCGTTCCTCCTCTTCTGCAATCTGGACCCTTGTCACACCTGCCTGGCTTTATTCGCCTTCCTCACTTGCTGTTTTCGGTGCCGCCTCGCTCTTGTCCCTCAGTCTTTACCGTGTGGGAGAGGTTAGAAAAGGGACCGTAGAGCTAAACCAAAGGCCATTCCCACTCTGCCCTCCTCTGAAAGCCCCTGCTGATGGTAGTTTCCCCAATCGGTCCAGAGGGGCGTGGTCTTTGGTGCAGGAAGGGAAGACGGAGGATGCTGGCTACAACCAGTTTGGAGATCCAGTGTTCTTGCTTTGAATCTTGCTCTTTTGTTTAAACTGGATCTAGCGCACTTTTGAAACTGCTCAGATTGAGGAATCATATTCGCTGTCCGGGACCCTTTCCTATGTGTTCCCTTCCCTTTGGCTCAACTCTCCACACACTGGGAGTCCCTGGCCATCCCCAGCGCCCTAGCACGCTGCTCTTTCCAGCCACTACAGTGCAGCACCAAGCCGTTTCCCATCCCCCTGCCACACCTCAATAAAACCCTGAGAGGATGGGCATATTGTAAGGAATTGGTGGTGGGGAAGAAGAGGAAAGCACCCACTGATAAGCCAGACCCCGGGAACAGCAGACTGTACTAGCACACACTAGTACTGGTTTCTTTCCAGTGCATTTTGGTGGCCGCGGTGATAAGCAGAGGCTGGAAGTTCTTCCCAGAACCACAGGCAGCCACAGCAAGAAAAAACTTTTTTGTCAGTTTAAAAGAGGCGCGGTCTTTTTCCCGGAATGTGGGCGGCTCTGGACAGAGAATTTCTAAACTCAGCGGATCAAAGTTCTTTAGGTCAGGGAAGTGAATCTTTCCAGTCCAGCCAGTTGCAGAGATGGGGAGGAATGCAAGGGAAGCAGCAGGGTTGTGCTGAATGAGGTTTCTCTGAGCTTTCCACATTTCCTAGCTTCTTGGTCAAAGGGGGGCAGCCCTTCCTTATTTTATGCCTCTACTCTATCTGAATCAGGAGAAAGCCTTGCTGCTTTCTCCTGATTCAGATAGTACTTTTCACACAATGCAAGAAAAACAAACAAAAAGCCAAACAATAAACCCTAACTGTCACATTTTGGCACAAGGAATTAGTGTAATCATAATAACTAGAGATCTCTTGGGTTTGGATTGGAAGGAGGGGAGTCACTCTAGAGCTGGTTGGAATAAAAAGTACTGATAATTGGATACAAAAATAAAGAATGGTCCCATGACATTTTTAACAGTGATATTTAGGATTGACTCAGAGAAAAAAGCGTCCTCTACTTTAAGTTCCTTGTCTTGGATGTGTCAAAATTTCAAAGGTTTCCTAGCAGAAGTTTGCCACACTTTGCAGAGAATTTATAAAATGCATCAACAGCACCTACTTCTTTCATTTGTTTTAATGCTTTGAAAGATTGTCCTTCAGAACATTAAAATGATGTATTATTTCAATTTCTATTAAGAATGAAATGTATTTTGTATTAAGAACCCAATAATAGCTGAAACTCATTGAGATACAAGGGGCAAGGCATGGGATCAAGATAATGACTGCAGATGCTGTGCTCATCAAAAATGGCAGTAAAGATGCTGACTGGGAGTATGAAGAAGGTGACTCTCTACTTACTCCAGTGTATCACTTAGAATACCAAGTGCTTCTGAACTGTTTTACCTGCAAAATTTTATTTTTAAAAGTTTTTTTCCTGAACTTACAAACTACAAGTGAAACCAATTACACTAATTTTTGGCAAACTTTTTTTTCTAAAAAGGTGCCTTCTCAAATTAAATTTCAAGACAGGTTTGATTCAAACACCCTCCAAAACTGTGTGGGTTTTATATGACTGAAGTTTAATTAATGGCAAAACATCAAACTAAACCAATTATGAGTAAAAAATAATTATTAGGTGTCAACAGTCAGCCAAAACAATGCTAAATACCATTATTTAATATTATTTTATATTCCTGGGAACTTTTCGTTACTTCAAATATACTGAGAAACCTGTCTTTACTTTCCTTGTCATGATTTCACCTTTTACAGAAAATTGGTGATTGTCAGAGCTGTTAAGGTTTTTCAGTGACCTTAAGAAGCTGATATAATTTTAATATGTTTTAATTAATAAATATGAATTAGTGTTTTCAAAATAATAGAATATTGGAAGAGGTTTTTTCTTCTGCTCAATTGTGTAAGACTGAGGAGTTTAAGCACAATGTTTAAAGTTCTGCCCCTTACCTTGTACATTATAAGTGATTATGAAATAAGGAGACATAGTAATTGTTGCCTTTCTTTTTGTAGGTGATAAGTTAGAAGAGTTTCTTAGATCACTAAACAGCAGTAAGCCTCTCTACCTGGGGCAGACTGGCCTGGGGAATATTGAAGAGCTTGGAAAGCTGGGACTGGAGCCTGGGGAGAACTTCTGTATGGGAGGACCTGGCATGATCTTTAGCCGAGAAGTTCTCAGGAGGATGGTGCCACATATTGGTGAATGCCTTAGAGAAATGTACACGACTCACGAGGATGTGGAAGTAGGAAGATGCGTTCGCCGTTTTGGTGGGACTCAGTGTGTCTGGTCTTATGAGGTAAGCCTTGAGCTGTGATGAAAATGTTCACATAGTACATGTATATGCCTTTTTATAATCTAGGGCAGCAATTCTATTCATTGTCTCTGTATCTTTGTATCTACTTGAAAGTGATAGTAGCAGCCCTTTGGGGATACAAGAGTGGGAGATAACTTTCTCATTAGGTGTCAGGGCCTGTCTGAGACTTTGTTATTAGCATGCCCCTTAACTTCAAGCAGTAGCCTATACTTATGGCCACATCTCTGGAACATTCTTATATCCTCCTCTGCTTGATTTATTGGTGCTTATATACACGTGAATCTATTTCTCTTCTCTAACAAGGGTGTAATTTTACTCCTCTCTTCAGCTGTAGCCTTTAGCATTTGGTACTGTGCCTTTTTATTTTATTTTATTTTTGGTTAGGTGTGTAATGGCATCTCTTTGTTTTTAAATGGTTAAAATCTGAAGTTTCTTTGGATATTTTCCAGTGGAAATTTAACTTTTTTTTTTTTTTTTTTTTTTTTTTTGAGACAGAGTCTCGCTCTGTCGCCCAGGCTGGAGTGCAGTGGCGCAATCTCGGCTCACTGCAAGCTCCGCCTCCCGGGTTCACGCCATTCTCCTGCCTCAGCCTCCTGAGTAGCTGGGACTACAGGCGCCCGCCACCGCGCCCGGCTAATTTTTTGTATTTTTAGTAGAAACGGGGTTTCACCGTGGTCTTGATCTCCTGACCTTGTGATCTGCCCGCCTCGGCCTCCCAAAGTGCTGGGATTACAGGCGTGAGCCACCGCGCCCGGCAATTTAACATATTTTTAAAGGTATTAGAAAAGTAAACTAATAGTGTATCACTTACGGTAGATGTATTCACAAAATTCCAATCACTGTATTTCCTTAGGCATATAAAAGGAATGAGTTGTCTGGAAAAAAAAGCAGAAGTTTAAATGGTGTTCAGTAGCTGCTTAGTATTTTTGACAGATTCCCTAAAATTTGTTTATGTCTATTTCTATGCTATTTTCTGAACAGGAACAATTATTTAAATAATCTTAGCTATTTATTTGTTGCCGTGATCATTTTTATGAAATACTTTGAGATTTTTTCCTTCAGAAATTGATTTTGAAATGTAACAACATTTTATTTAAAATACACTTCCTAATAGATAATTTTTATAAAAATTTATTTAACATTAAAATAATGTATTGTCTTTAGTTTGGTTTTCAAGTAGTTGGAATTTAGTATTATTTTAGCTACGGAGTGCACAGCTTTGTAAATTATATCTTAACTCCTTTGTTTATGTTTTCAAATTTTTCATGTCACTTAGTATAGAAGAAACATTTTATGGAAATATGTTCCCTGTGAAGTCACTATATACACAGTTTCATTTGTTTTCCTTGTAAGTGTAGTCTCACTTTAGTTAATTTTGCTTTCTCTTTTATGCTTTGTGGTATTTATACTTTGGGGACATATTTTACACATTACAGAAAGTAAAAATTATTAGTCATTTGAAATAGGCATGAAAATTTAAAATGATTATGTTGCTAATTTATTTTGATAATAAAATGGTAATTTGTAAAAACCATCCTACAACTACCCTTTAGGATAAAAATTTATGTAAAAACATTACAGTTTAGAGACAGGTCATCTAGAATAAACTCAATAAAATATTTCTTCCTTTGTTATAAAACAAAGTAAAAGACAAAAATATTTAATACAGGGAACATATTCAGTTGATTTTGTTTACATACTGTTATTATTTTGCAGATATTTACTTTACATGGATAAGTAAAAACATATTTGTATGGATAAGTAAAAAAATCTCATCTGTAGTTAACAATATAGATGGGAAATTATTGTTTTATATGATACTTTATTACCTTAATATAATATATAAAATTTAAACCAAGATAGTGTTTAAACATTCTTCTTTTCAAGTTCTCATTGATTCTGCTATGAAGGCCTAGTCTTCACCTAGCATTCCATTCCTTCATGTTCAAGAGAGTAAGATATGCACAAAATTGGGAGCTCAAAAATTGATTTAATATTTTATTTATAATATAGGCCTTTGTCCTGGTTAAAGTGAAGAGAAGTTATATTATAGATGTGCACCCTGTCTGTTAGAATAAGTGCAATCTTAGATCCTTTTATTAACTGATGTAAGAGGAAACAAAAGAGATTCCAAGTCTTACAGGCTATAACCTGGTGAATATAACACTTTCAGTACTTTTCGTAATACATTTGAATTTAGACTGACACTTGACCATCACTGACTTATGAATCTGTCTAAAACTAAACTAATCATCTCAACATGTTTCCCTAGCATTAGAAAATGTTTTCTAGATAAGTACTGTTGACTTTATGTTTTTCTAAGCTATTATATAGAATTTACTTTGTTTTGGGATTTCAGTCTTTAAAGGAGCTATATAAACAGTATTAATTTAAAGGATGCATTGATTTAATTCTAATACAAAGTCTCAAAAGTCTTACGTAGAGAAGTGATGGTAAATTTTATTACCAAGAGATATGTGAAAAAGCATTGTTAGCAAAATTAGTAAAGATATATATACAAAGAAATGATATCTAAATTTTAATACTAGAATGTGTTCTGTGTTTCATGAGACACCTAAGTAGGTAACTTGGGGCACAGCTAAACTGGGTATAACATTCACAGATGCCATACTTCACTTTCTAATTTGGATTTTATGTTAGTGGAAATGATGTCCATGTATGATACTGTTCATATTATATAGAAAGATTGGTCTATTCTACTCCAGGTTGGCATTCTCAGTAAAGGTGAGATTTTACATCTGCTCATTAAAAAAGCTATGAAATTGATCATTACTTTTTTCCCATAGTTCTTTTAAAAGCACTATCTGCGATAGAATTTTCGTAAAATTTTAAATTTCCTTTATCTATCCCTTTCACAAATTTTACAATTTTTTTGTTTGTTTGTTTATCCTCCTAATAAAAGTTCTTTCAGGGTTGAGAGTCTTGTTAAGACAGCATGTTCATGATTTTTGAGTTTGAATAGATCAAATGTTCATGATAGAATGTCATCTTTTAAAAATGGTGAACACGCTTGCAGATCTTATAAAAAGAGAATTGTAAGATTATTAAATAAAATATATAATTGTTAGTTTTCCTTGAATATAAGTTATATTCTTTATAAAATCTAGGAATGAAGCTTCCAGTATTATTCTTAACTGCTAAACTGAAATTACTTTCTCTGTGTTTGTATGTACCATTAAAAATATATTGTAAAAGAGAAAGAGAAAGAGAGAGAAAGATGATGGGGGGATTTGAACTGGGGTTTGAGCCACCATTTTAACATTTACTAGTTTAATTGTCTTTCGCAGGTTACTTCTTTAAGTCTTGTGTAATTCAACTGAAAGTAGAGTTTATAAGAGTATTTATCTCATACATTTCAGAAAAGATTAGGTGAAATGATCCATGTAAAGCCCTTAAGGTAGTGTCTGGCACATGGTACATTTTCAATAGATGTTAGTTTTTATTGTTCTAATGTTATAGATATCACATACTGTATTATACAACATGGATTCATATATTTCCCGTAATAATTATTAGTAATGGATGGGTGATTCATTTATATCAAAAAGGTCAAAATAAAAAATGAATTCTCAGAGAGTTAAGCTTTTTTTGGTAAAGAATAAGAAACCAGTATGTTGCAGTATTTTAGAAATATGAGGAATTCAGCATTAGTGAAACTTACTGTGAAATATAGACACCTGTTTTAAAAATGCATTACAAATATTTGTTTCAGTCTTTGCACCTAATATGTATAAGATATATATATAACTGAATTTGAGGATATTGTGTGGAAAATATTACCTAACAAATTATTATTTAATATACATATGTAAAGAATCCCAAACAGATCTACGTAAGGAAAAATATTACTGTATAGATTTCTAAATTAATTGCCAGAACAATGGCCGCCTTTTTTGAGTTTCTCTGGCATCTTCAGTAGGGAAGAAAGTGAATAGTCTCTCATTCTCCAGTCAACTCATGAACACCCAGGGGCTTGTCTCTCAAGGCAGCGGGAACCTCCTCCCGGTGTACCTCAGGTCTTTGAGGTAATGATCTGCAGCTTCCGACCTTTCTCACAATAAGGCCCAGGTGGTCTGAGGAAGTCTGTCTTGCTTGTTGGTCGCTTGCTCTTTTGCTCTGTCTTTTCTGCTCACTTTTTCTATTTCCTTCCGCTTGAGTGATAAATTTCAAATGTATTTTGATATGTACTGCTTTTCATCAGGTTCCTAGTAAATTAATGTGCTCATAAAGGCCAACCTAGGTATCTTAAAAGATCACAGGATGTGCACCCAGACCGCAGTAGATCACAGTTAGGGCTCCAACATGGCCTGACCTGTTCAGAATAAAGAGGCCTTTGGTTGAGGGTGAGCCTTACACAGACTGGTTCTTTGTGTGCCTGTGATCACTGGAGAGTCTAAATTGAGATTCTCCCTTTCCCACCTGGGATTGAGGCATCTTGTTTTAAGGCCATATGGCAGATGTTAATAATCAACAGACTTCATGGGTTATACCTCAAACTTTATAAGCAAAGATTACTAACTGAATGAAGCATGCATGCTCATGAAGAAGTCATTCTATTCTATTCACTCTGCAAGTGTTAGAATTTATTGGCCTCTCCTGTTGGCAAAGATCACACTTTTGGTTGAGCTCTATCTTGGCTACTGCTTTTCTAGAGCTGCAATCTGGCAGTTTGGGAGACTGCATATGGCTCTTAAACATTGTTTGGCACATAGAGTATTTTAAGGTTTTTGTTTTTGTTTTTGTTTTTTGACATCTTTAGCAGAGGCAGGCAATCTACAGTTCCTTTCATGTCCTGTTATTGTCTGTAAGACTCTTCCTGCACGTTTATTTTCCCTTCCTGGCTTATGTAGGCATAAAAGTTTTGATCTTTTGAACTGGACAATCCATATATTGCAAGTTTCATGATAATATTCTCTAGAAAATGAAGTGATTTTCCAGTGATACTGAGAGGTATATTTTAA